ATTAAAAAGCAATATTAAAAAGTATTGTCAAAAAACATTATCTTTTACAAAGTGAATGTAAAAGTTACTTAAGTAATCACTTTCATCTCATTCTTATCTCAAGAATCAGTCATCTTATTATTCTTCATCTCAATATTAAGATTCTTTATCAGTGTTTATATCATAAGTTGAATTATATGAGCAATGCAGAGAATATAATCTTATTTATTATTTCAGAAATACAAAGTCAATTTTTGCTTCAAGCTCTTCACTATAGTGTAGTTATTCACAGCATTATCAGTTATAATTATAAGAAGACTGAGACTAATATCTCAATAGTCATTTTTAATCACAGTTATTAATATCTCTATTATATAATCTTCAGTATGACTACTGATCAATGATTCAAATTCAATTAATATCTCTTGATAAGTTCAGTTCTTATCAATATAATAACATATAACTCTTATAAATGTAAGATTGTTTATACTAGTTTATATATTCACTGTGAGAGACACTCTTCAATGATTCTTCAACTCTGATTCTAGATATTGTATATTAACTTTGTAGTATATCTCAAGGTTGAACTGAAGACAGAGTCAATGTGAAATATAAAGATTTAAATTAAGTATTTGAAGAAGTGTTCAGAATTCAGAGTTTTCAATTAATTAAAGAGAAAGATTCAGAGATATATATATATAAAGTAATTATTTACAGAAGTTATCAGATGAGAGTTGTGAAATCAGAGTACTGATATATAATTATTTTTGCATAATTTTCTTCAAATTAGAAAGTTAGTGTTATTAAAAATCATTATCTGATAAAGTAACTTATCAGCTTAGTAGTAATTTTCTGATTATTTTTCTTTTATTATCTATATTCTGATGACTTCAGATGTTAGAAAATTTCTTCAGAGCTATAATTAGTTTATAATAAATGTTTCTGAATAAAGTTGCAGTGATTGCAGTAGAGAGATAACACTTTAGTAATCTATAATACAATCTATTGATAATTATTTCATAGTTTATCTCAGTGTTTGTGTTGAGTTTTTCATAAATTTCATAGCCTGAAATCAGATGTGAAGAATGAAGTGATTATTCATTATAATTGAAAGAGAGCATTCTGTGTTGAATTGTAAATAATATAGACTTTGTAATTCACAGTGATTTCTTGAAGAGTTTATAAATCTTCAATAGAAGTAAAAGAAGTGAAAGAAGTGAATTTAGAAGATATAATAATAATTTGAGAAAGATAATAATTTATTTTCAATAACTGATCACTGATATGTGTAAGAAGAATTAATATAAGAGAAAATAATCTTATTTCTTAGCTTAGTTATAATTTTAGTACTAACTCAGATTAAATATTATTAATGTATAAAAGTAAATAAACAATCTTAATTAATCTCTGTCATATTTCTTGAAATATATTAATATTATGAAAGAGAGTATTATCAAATTATATTATCAGATAATATCATTAAAAATATATTAATATTATGAATATCAATGTTGAAAAAATGTTAATACTTATACATTATAGTGATTTGTGAATCATGATAGTTAAATATATATATATATATATATTATTTCTGACTTGATTACAACTTGTACAATAATTTTTAAAAATTCAAAATTAATTTCAATTATTAATAATTATGAACTTATAACTAACTAATATAAAAAGAAAAAAACTTTTTCTACTTATCATCTTTCTTCTCTTTCTCATTCTTCTTTATTATTCTTTATAATTCACTTCTCATTCTTCTTCTTCTTCTTCTTCTTCTCATCTGAGATGATAATTATCTTAAAATCTCTCTTCACTATCTTCTCAGAGAAGAGTTCTCACTGCTCTCTCTCAGTCAGGTTAATCTATGCTTCAAAATCCCGCAATTTCTGATCTGCTGTCTCAGATTTCATCTCAGTAATAAGCAGATTAGCATGCTCAGAGAGCAGAGCTATCTTCTTAATATTCTGAATTATGAAGTGTATTCAAGGTCTGAATAAGATCTCAATTTCCTTCTTCTCTATCAGCTTCTGCTAATTAATTAGAGAATAGAAGTATTATTAAAAATTATTATCTCTTAATAAATAAAAAACTTATCAGTTTTAACTTCTTTATCTTCTACTTTAATACTCTCTTAATCTTCTTCTATCATTACTTATTTACAGTAACACTCTTCTTCTCTCTCTCTCTTCATCTTAATCTTAAATCATTCTCAGAACTTCTTCTGATTTTATTACTACTGTATAAGACTCTTCACTGTCTTCTTCTTCAATCTCTCACAGATAATGTCATTCATATTATTTCTATACTTAGTTCAGTCTAAATCTATCAGAAGTGTTACTTAAAATTGTTATTATTCTACTCTCTTACAGAGTCTCTTCAAGGCATTATAACATGTCTTATAATCTATCTCTTCTCACTTAAACATCTTCTTCTTCCCTCTCTTCAATCTGTGACAGTGCTCACACACCTTGATAATCTGCAGAATCACAGAATATTTGAAGAGAAATAACATAATTAATTTCAGTGAGTGTTGAAGAGAGGTGAAGACAGAAGAGATAATCAGAAATAATATGATAATAATAATAATAATAATAATAATAATAATAATAATAATAATAATAATGATAATGATAGTAATAATAGTGATGATGATAATGATGATAATAATAATGAAAGAGAAAGTGTATTGAAATATATTACTAACTTATCAAATATAAAGAGACTTAAAGAAAATATTAACAGCTTTCAGAGATGTACAGAAACAGCTACAGTGTTGTATAGTAATATTATCTTCATTCAATACATGCACTGTTAATATTCTTTGTATATAGTTATCATATAATCTGTATCAGAGATATATGCAGAAAACAGATCTTTGTTACTAGAATAAATGATTGCAGCAATTCTCTATTTTTATATTATAAAGATAAGTTATTCTCATTTCTTTCTTCTCTCTTTTCTCTTCTTCAATCAATCACTAATTTCAAGCTGATATGAAAACTATTAAAACACTCTCAAAAACTCTCAATTTGAAGAGTATAGACTAATTAAATTTCAAATACAGAAGAAATTAAATTATCTTCTATAGATTCAATTATTCATTCTCTCTTAAATAAAATAGCAGTTGTATTCCTTTCTCCTCTCAATCAAATGAAACATGGCTCATGAAAAGTGAGTACTATATCAGATTATAATAATCAACACAGTCTCAGTATGCAGAGCTGTATATACACAGCATGTACTGAACTGAGAGACTGCATAGATTGTAAATCAGTAGCAGTATTTCAGAGAGAGTTATACAGTGTGAGAAAGCTGTAACTCTCAGTCACATGCACAGAGAATGAATTATTACAGTAAGTATATATATATTGAAGTAATACTTTTTGATAATACTCAGTCTCTGATATGATGAAAATAGAGTCTCTCTGTGAGATCTGTTTTTATCAGAAGTCAGAGAATCTTATATTTCTCAAGATTATCTTCACATATCTTATCTATAAAATTGATAAGAAAAATCATTAATTTCAGCATTCTGTTCTTGATATTATTTAAGTGATAGCAGAGTTCACTCTGATCATACTTTTTAAGTGTATATTTTCTAATTATTCACATTTATACAGATATATACTGATTATTTATTAGATAATATTAAGATAATAACTTATTACAGCTGTGTTACTCTCACTGTGAGAAATACACAGTTAGTAATAAATATTGTAAAGACTCTGAAGAGTGAGTATTTTAAGAGTACTGCAGCTCTGTGATCTTGATTTTTTTTATTTTTATTTTTTATTTTTTTCTTTTTCTTTTCTTTTTTTTTTTCTTTCTCTTTCTTTCTCTTTTTTTCTTTCTCTTCTTTTTTTCTTTCTCTTTTTTTTTATTGTGATTTTTTCTTGTTATTATTTTATTTTTTATTTTTTTATTTTTTTTTATATTTTATATTTTTTTTTAATTAAAATGATATTAATTATAATCTGTATTCAGAAAAGTAATGATATTTAATAATACTCTCTGTTAAATTTTCAATAAATGAGCACTATATTATAATATTATGTAAGTAAGAAATGATTTCATAATCTCATTTAATGTCATTTTTAATAATGAGATCAGAATGAAAATGTAACTAAGAATTTAAATATATTCTTTATCTGAAACTAGATTTTTATTTGAAAAGTGAATCTGAGACCTTTAATATTTGAAATAATGTGATTTAAAATCAATGTAATAAACACAAATTATAATCAGAAGTAATACTTTTAGACAATGTAATAACTGTAAAGTTTGATTCTGATTTCAGACACAGTCACATGATCAGTCTAGTATCAGCTATAGTTATTTAATTTTAAAGTATTATCTGTATAAAATTTATAAAATTATCTGCAGTGTAATAGATAGATTAATTTAAATTATTATTAAAAGTCAGTATTCTGAGAGTAAGAGATAATAAAGAATTTAATAAGTTAAAATAAACAGATTCTGTAGATAAATATTAACTCTGCTTTCTCTTATTCTAAAGCTTCTCTTTTATTTTATCATCAAATTTCATACTCTGATAAAAACTAACATCAGTCTTATCTTATAACTCAGAAACTTTCTCATAATAAGTAATTATTTTATTAATAAGTTATTTAATAGAGTAAGTAATTCTGAGTCTTGAGCTGAACTCTGAAGTAATAGATATATCACTTATATTAAGATGACTCTGCTTCTTCTAGATATGTAAAAAAAAAAAAAAAAAAAAAAAAAAATATTCTTTATAATAGAGAATGCACTTTTCAAAAGTTAAAAGTATATAAATTTATTAATCAGTGAATTCAGAGAAAATGAAATATCTTTAATAAAAAGTAAAAGACTTTTTAAAAAAGATGAACTATTTTTATTAAAAATATTGATGCAATATTCTAAAAAGAAAAATGTGCCATTCAGGCTATAATCTGTAGAATAGTTGAAGGTTGTATTGATAGATCTATCTACAAGAACATAATATAGTGGTGGGTCACGTGATCTGGTGGGATCGCTAACCGCAACGGCCGTAACGGCCAACAAGAACAGCAATTCGGGAAATGCATGCTCCGTACAGATTACATATTGCATGGATGCAAGAAATATGCATTCCGCAGGCTAAGGAGGGTTCCCTGTCCCTGTAATCCGTGGCTACTGTTCATCACGCCGTTATACAACTCTGTGCACACAGTACATAACATTGAAAAGGAACTAATCTAACTAACTCGATAAAAGAATGAAGGGGGGGGGGGGGAAAGGAAAAGGAAATTGAGTATTCCTTTCTTGGAGACAAGGTTATAATCCGTACTATCATCCAGTATTATGAGGATCTGATGTTTGATATAGATGTATAGATAGATATCCATACAGATGTTTCTAATGAACCTGCTGTGTTGTCTCTTGTCCTCTCAAACAGCGAGAAATCACATGTTCAACCGCTGTCTTGTTGTTCCCCTCAATTTATTCCCAAATGATAACTGCCAGTTGTCAAAAGTGTTTTGTTTTCTTTTCATATCTTTTTCAATCTGTAACTACTGATTCATTAATTACTAAAATTACTTTCCTCACTGAGATTTATTTCCTCTGTTCTCTCTCTCTTCTCTCCTCTCTCTGCTCCCAACACGGGCCCCTGGCGGGTTGCTTGAAGCCTGGAGGGATTACTCGTCCCTTATTTAATAGTTAACTCTAGAGGAAAACCTTGATTTCCTGTGCAAAAGAATGAGAATGCTTGTAAGTTCTTTCTTTTCTTGTTGCAGGCGGAGAGGAATAGAAAAATACGACATTTTCACATCGTCAAATTTTAGTTATCTCATATCCACATTTCAATCAAAGAAAAGGAAAAGCAAAACGTCATTTGTTTTTGTATTAGTCTTATTCTTGTATTCGTCTAGATGCTAGACTACTCGCTGTTGTTTCTCATCAGACATATTTTTTACCATCAATTAAGGGAGATGATAAGGAGGAAGAAAGAAAAAACAAAATAGAAGAAAAGAAAAGGAGAAAGCAAATATTAAAAAGAGATGCGGCCGAGCGTATTCTTTTGTTAAGGGTGCAGACGAGAGGCAGGGGAGGGAGGGATATATTACTGAGGAAGAGATGTGCGAAAAATACAAAAAGGTCTTTGGAGAAAAGAAGAGATACATGAGAATAAAAAGAAATAGAAGCACAAACGGCGCAACCCAGACTCAAAAAGCATTTTCAGGTGCGGTATGGTATGCGTGAAGCATACCTTATCCCGACAGCATTTCAGTTCACTTAGAAGTGGAGCGGATGAAAAGACGGGGGGGAGGGTGGATACCAAGATGAAAAAGGAAAATAAAGTTATCGAGGGGGCGGAAGATATTTTTTTTTTTTTTGGTCAGGAAACCCCATGAAGATAACTAACAAAGAAAAGAAACGAAGACATTAAATCAAAATCAGATATGTGCTGGGTTATGTTCGTTGCAGCCGTTACGTATTACAAGAGCGATGGGTACAGGAAGAGAGAAAAGAGAACAAGGAATGGAGAGAGGAAAAAATTAATGGAGGGAAAAAAAAGGGAAAAGAAAGAAGAAAAAAAAGAAAAAAACTCCAGAAAACAATGGTGTTTGTCGCATATCATCAAAAACCCGCGACTTTTTCACCTTCTAAAGGCACACGTCAAATATCAAAACAAGGAAAAGTTCCAAAGGAGCACTTCTTTCTACGCTGCATCAGCCGTAGGAATAGGCTCCGGGATCTTCGTCACCTGTGCTCCCGCCCGCACGATCCGATTCCCATACTCATCCCGCACCGACTCCACCTCCTTATTTTCTCTCTGCGCCCGCTTCCAGATCTCCACCTCACAACCACCACGGATAACCCCAACCCGCATCGTCGATAGCAGATTGTGCGCTGCATTCGAATGATTATACACGCCGCCGTTAAACATGGCAGTGGCATCTTTACCGATACCAGCGTTAATCATGGCCTTGCCACCGGGGTGATCCTTGATGAAGTCTGTAACGTCATGGACGACGCCGGCGATGGCGATGAGGCCCCGGCCGTTCTTGGCTTGGTCGACGTAGTCGTCCCATTCGATGACGGGGAGTTGGTCGAGGGGAATGCCCCAGTCGAGCTTTGCGCGGCGCTGGTCGATCTTCTTCTGCAATTGCTGGACGCGGCCCTTTTCGATCTCGTTAGCGCGGAACTGCTTGAGGTCATAGGCAAGGCCGAGCTGCTTCCAGATCCAGATGGTCCACTTGGTTGGATCATATTGGTGCCATTCAATCGCGTTGCGGTAGTCTGAGGGGAATTCATGGTGGAAGTTGTGGTAACCTTCACCAAGGGTAATAAGGGCGGTGATGACGTGGTCGCGTGGAGAGTTGCGGTCATCGAAGGGTTGGTCACCCAGCCAGTGGGCGAGGGAGTTGACGCAGAAGGTGGCTTGTTGGACGAAGAAGATGCGCAGGATGCCGGCGTAGATGAAGCCACCAAACCAGTCACCCCAGCCCAGGCCACTGACAAGCATGGGGAAGATGAGGCCCATGAAAATGACAACTTTGAGGTAGTTTCGGTGTTGCCAGACGACGACCGGGTCTTCATTGAGATCTGTGATGTCGGTTCGGCCGATGCGTTTGGGGTTTTGCTTCATTATCATCCAGCCAATGTGGGAGTATAAGAGGCCTTTGCGGACGGAGTAAGGGTCCTTCTCTGTGTCGGTATAGCGGTGGTGGGCACGGTGGTCTCTCGCCCACCATCTAATGGATCCTTCCACTGCACCACCTCCAACAGCAGCCAGATAGATTCTCAGGGGTAACGTGGCGGAATATGAGGTATGAGCCCAAAGACGATGATAACCTGTTCACACGGATAAAAACTGAGTTAAAGATGTGTTCCCCACGCAAAAACTCTGGAACATACAAAAGTGAATTTTCAGGACACATACCAGCAGTGATACCGAGTCCAGTCATGAAATAGTACGCAACAGCCCACAGAGCTGTTTTCAGTTGCAAGGGAACCCAATAGGCCTGGACGAGGCCGTATATAGGGATGGCGATAATGAGAGTGACGTTGAGCCAGTTGACATGTTTGTGCCAGTTTGCCAGCGTTATTTGTGTGTCTGTGATATGGACCTTCTTGAGTTCAGCGGTAGTTCGACGAGCAGCATCTGCGCCTGCGGATTTCCCTCCAGCAGCAGCTGGAGTAGTTGCGGGGGCTTCGTTTGAAGCCATGGTGGTGTTGCGGACCAGCCTGCCGTTTGGTGAGATCAGGACGATAGGAAGAAGGATAAAGCAGACGAGGGGATACAGAGGCTGATAGTACAGAGGCTGATAGACTGATAGAGAGATGGGTGGAGAGATGAGAGAAGTTGAAGATGAGGACGTGGAGGAAGAAGAAGTGGAAGGGGAACAGGAAGAAAGTTGAAGAAGTTAAAAGGGTTAAAAAAATGAAAAAGGTTGAGGGTGTGAAGAATGGCCTGATCCTGCTCAACCAAGTACCGGGGGAAGTATACCACAGACGAAGAAGACGATATTGAGAGCAAGGAAGAAGAAAAGTATCCGTCTTTAAAAAGAAGCTAGTGAGATTCTCTTCAGCTTCACGGGTTGCTAAGAACTATTATCATCATCATCATTATCATCATCATCAGATGTTCTTCCCTGTTGTCTTGTAAGTTGTGTGTCGCGAGGATGAAGATGAGATTATGCTTGGACGATTTGTTGGGGTGGGAGTGGAGGAGAGTTTACGCTGTACAGCGCTTGCTTTGTACCAGGTACCTTACACATGCATACAACCATGTACCATATTTACTCCCTATACCTCCACTCACAAGAAAATTAACTCACTCTTGACATATAAAGAGCCTTATATTTTATAGACATCAAGAAAAGAATACATCAAGTGAATAACTCATAACTCTTTTTTCTTTTCATAAAACATTCACTGTGAGTATTCTTGAGTGAGGTAAGACATTTCTGAATACTTGTGGAAATTCTTGAGGTACAAGAATTCATAGTGTCTGTATGTATTAGTACAAGTGGTAGCCCCATCTCGGCAACTAGGTAGCTAGCCAAAGTCAAAACTTCCTCAACGCCCCAGACCGAAAAGGCCTGGTCAAACCCTCTCTCTCTACCCAGCTTGTTCCAGAAAACGTAGACAAGAAAACTAAAAGTGTATTGAACTTCTCTTGCCATCGTCTCAAGTTATTTACTCTTTTCAAATCCATTGACGAGAAACTTCGTCAGAGAAAAGTAAATTTAGCGTTCGACGAACTAAAATCCAGCACTTTTCCATGACGGGTGGGACGCCCAAACAGGCTTAGCGCGGTCCCCAACAAAACCACAAAGCGCCATTTCCAGTTACTGTGGTGCTCTCATTGGTGGATATTCATTTAAGCCTCATGCAGCACTCGAAACTTAAACGGAATCTGGGCGCCAAACCTTTCACATCAGGAAACTGTAGCGGCCGCCACCACCACCTCACCTTGGGGTGTTGCCGCAGCGATTTAAAAATCAGTGTACTCGTACTCCGTAGGTTGTTTATGCCCGCTGCCTTGCAATTTTCTCCCCAACCAGTTTTCTTTTCTTAGCTTGATGAAAAGGTTTAGCGTCATTCTTATTGTGTCGTGTCATGTGATGCTTTTATTATGGATATTTATTTACATTTATATATTTTTTTTTCATTCAAGAACAAAAATGCAAAAAGAAGACTTGAGTGACTAACTACAACACTAGTTTTGAATAACTCATGGTGAATTGCAAATTACCTCCAGAGCAGGCAAGTCCAGTGTGAAACTTCTATGCTTTTACCTCTATGATACGCGGAGGTTCGAGCATGCATCATCATGTTACTTCCCCTTGATGGGCTGGCTTTCTATCGTCTTTTCTCAAAATCCTGTACTTTCGTCCTTTACATGGCAACCGCGAGATGTGGATGATCAACGAGCTAGACCTGGTTCCTTCAGCCACGGGGTGTGCCGTGAAACAAAGCATCTGGCTCCAAGGCGAACATTGTCATTTTCAGCCCTGTGGTCCTTCATCGCAATTCCGTTTATCTTGCCTAGAGACCTAGACGCTTTTCCTAGTTTACTACTCTCTTGGCTTCCCTCTATCCCCCCCTCTCCCTAAGTTTTCTCTATTCCCTCGATCAGATCCGCCTTAGGGTAGTATCTATTACACCTTCTGCAGGATTAGCAATGTATTATCTGCTGGGAGGATGTGCGGAAACGCTCTGCTGAGAGACAGACGACTAAGACGACTAGAGGGAAGACGACAGCCCCCGGGGTGGAATCGTTCAATGACTACATCTCACCTCCGCAGACCTACGTGTGTATGTGTATGCCGGAGACATCAAACTGTGGGAGGGTGGCCATTGCCGATTTCGGGGCAACCCGTTTCCCTGGATTAGAGCCGTTGGAGCGGTTTACATGGATGCCTCGGATACCTCAGTCTTACTGCTACCATCAGGGTCTCCGTTCAATGGGTTGCTGCGATATTCGACTGGGCTGTGAGCTCAGGGCAGTAATGCTCTCTACAGCGTTCTTGGTGAAGGCAATTTCTTCGGGGGTATTTATGGCAGAGGCTCTTGAGACTAGAGTGGATGCATAAATGAGATATTCCTACGTTCGATACGACCATGAACGTTATCAGCTCGCGATACATATTAAAACTAACTCAATCCAGGTACGATACGGAATAATAAATCTGAGAGAAAAGAGCGAGAGAGTTCTGGTGTCTTTGCAGCGGCTACGTGATGCTTATCGGGCTTCGCACAGGCCACTCTGGCGTTGACCAGAAAAAGAGACAAAAAGGGTACCGCGATAACCGCAACAAACAACCGCGCGCATAATCAACCCTTTGCGGTCGGTATCAAACCTACACAACCCAATTCAAATTGCATCAATGATATCAAGTCAATCGTTCTTAATCACTGCCGCATTTTCCACGTCGTCCAGCCTGTGGGAAGGATGGTCAGAGCTCTCTACCCCTTTCCCCCTCACGCCCTCTTCCTCCTCCACCCCCTCCCCGCTCCCACTCCCAGGTTCACTAGTCATTTTAATCGCCTCCCCATCCACCTCATCCTCTTCCTCCTTCAACACTAAATTCAAAATCAGCGCAATAAAGCCCGCAATCGCAAACCCAGTCGTCATCACAAGCTCAACCGCGTCAAGGAACCCTTGCTTCGCCTTATTGTCCCCATTGTAGGTAAATACAAATGAAAACCAGTTCGGCACAAGCGTAGCCCCCATTCCCAACGCCAACGCAGCTGCTAGAATAAACCGATTCCGCCTCGTGAATTTTACCGTAGATATAATACGCATACCGGAAACAGCGACTGACGCGAACAGGAACGTGGTCATCCCTCCCAGCACCGCGGACGGGATCGCAACCAACGCTGCCGCGAACTTGGAGAATATTCCCATGATCACTAGAAAAAAGCAGCAGCAGTAACCCGCCTTTCGATTCGCGCAGCGAGTCAGTGAAATCACACCGTTATTCTGTGCGAACACGGACATGGGCGTGATGGTGCACAGGCCTGCGATCAGCCCATTTAGGCCATCCGCAAGCACCCCGCCCTGAATGCGCGTGTCGAAAATTGGGCCCTCAACATCCAGCCGGGACACGTCGCAGGTTGCCGTAATGTCCCCAATGGCCTCCATCATTAGGACGATGTACACGGCCATGAGGGGTAGGATGATGGGTGGGTAGAGTTCCAGGCGGAAGGTACGTACCCAGATGAACGAAGCGCTAGGCGCGGAGTCGATGGCCGATCGATCGAAGTAGCCTGTCGCTGCCGCCACGATGCAGCCCACAAACAGACCCATGACAACGGCGCAGGACTTCATGATGGGCGACCCGAAGCGCTCACAGAGGATTATGGTGAGGAAGACGAGGAAACCTAGGCCAATGAACTCAGCACTGCCCCAGGGTAGCGCGTGCGGGGCGTCGTTGCTGGGACAGAGCATGAAAGGTCCCTCTGTGGGGCGGGAGACACAGGAGCCGCTGCCGCCCGCCCAGTTCTGCAAGCCGGACTCGATGAGCTTGATCCCGATGAGTAAGACCGTGGGGCCCGTGACGAGCGGCGGGAAGAGCCGTTTCAGATACCGAGCGCTCGTGAATGAAAGGCCAATTTCAAGCAAGGCGCAGAGACATGATGTTGCCAGCAGGGCGCCGTATCCCTGTGGGCAGGGGAGATGGTTTCCCTGCTCGTCGACGGGGCAGTAGCCGGACTCGTACATCTGCGCGAACGCACCCATGGCGACGGGAATCGTGGCGAAGGAGGTGCCCACGACGGAAATCAATCCCGTGCCGAGGTAATAGGGGGTTTTATAGATGTGAAAGCGGGCCATTTGGATGGCAGAGAGGGAACCGGAGACGATTAGAGAGGTTGAGACGAGGTATTGGGCTGTGTTGTCGGGGAGTTCTGCGCCGCCAGAGCCAGACATGAGGATTGGCGGCGTGATGACTATAGAGATGTATACATCAATATCAAGAGGGTCAAGTTTTCTCTCCCATTCCTCCTTGTCTTTTTATTCATCTCCATATGAAAAATGGGAGCAAAGGAGGGAAGGGAGGTGTGGTGATGGAAACCATACTCCCCGCCAACATGGCCAGCGAATGCTGCAATCCCAAAATCAACGCCAGCACCACCGGCATCCGATCCTCCAGGCCAAAAAATGGCGCACCCCTCTGTTGCGATTTCATAAATGGCAGGTTCGGCGTGAATAAGAAGGCATAGTCGTACTCGCCAATGAGTCCCTTTCTAATTTTATGGACGTAGATAAGGGCGCAGACATTCTTTGTCAGAAAGAAGGACAGCCATTGTGGGTGAGATTTTTTGTCGATTTTTTTTTTAAAAAAAAGAACCTTGAAGAGGGAACAAGTGCAATGGACGATGGATCCGGATTTATGTCTTTTTCTTCCTTCTGAAAAAGAAAACTTGTGGCTTCACACATACCGGGTCGTAAATGTCCTATACACCCTATGCAGCTTATCCACGAAAAACCTTCTCCTGCCACGATCCATGCCCGGAATGATTTGGTCGGGTTCTTCGCCCTTTGTGTGTTTTTCTCGTCTCTAATTTTCTTTTTATCCACTTCCCTTTGCCCTTGGTAATCCGGGGTTTTGCTGAATCGCAGTTGTCAATCTGGATAAAATCATGATACACGAGGAACTACCAACCTTTCCAAATCACCCCAAAAAAGTCTACTAGGTAAAAATGTTTGAAGGTGATTTTGGTATAGCAGGGTAGTCGACTGCTTTTGATGTTGACTGACTTAAATTATCGGCATTGCTGATTTCGTAAAGATGTAAGAGGTTAGAGGGTAGTCCTGGAGGTAATTCTACACAAAAGTCCAGCGATAATAGTTGTTGCATCAGATATCCCACCCTGATAGCCAAGGCCCCCAAAAAATGCGGAGCTGAAGCTGACCAGAGCGGACCTCTCCTCTCCACAATCAAGCTTTTCGACGCCGCAGGATGGAGTAGCAAATAGCCGGGCCGTTAATTGGCCTAAAAGAGATGCTAACTCCCTAGCTCCTTAGCCATGTCAATCATCGGTCGCGTCCCCGCCTCCTGGTATGGTATGACCGCGCATCACCGACGATGGGTATAGGGCCATTTTCTCATAAATCAATGAAGAAGAAGGGAAAGAAGAAGAAGAAGAAGAAGAAGTAGAAAGAGAGGAATGAGTAAATTTCAAAAAGAGGGCATGAAAGATGTGAAGTGGACGTGGAGGAGCGAGCTGCTTTTCTTCCTGTTTCTGACTCCGCAGTTCTGCGGCCAAACCTGCCTCTAACCAGTCGATATGGCGTGCGTCGTTGTAAGGTAGCCAGCCACATGGGCTCGATGCCGTCAACAAGTATTATTAAATATACCCAGCATCAAGGATGGCCCTGTGATTCCTCTGAATAGCCGGACCCTGTTCCAAAACAGTGACATAAACATCTAACAATTTGAGTGTCTAGTCTCACGTTCCAGGTACTATACATACAGTAAACACCCAGCGGCATTGTGATATTTCTGAGATATTGACGACGGTTGCATTTATAGCCAGCGCATTCATTTTCTTTATTTAGCCTATTTTCTAATAATTTATAGCACTTTAGGCAAAAGGAAGGGTCCTGCTCCGGAAATAATCAATCGTCGCATGCTTGACCCTGAAAGTAACTTGTTCCACCCGCCGAAGATGTTGTCGGATGAAAATCAGCTCTACAGTAGTCCCTATTTCAA